CAGGTAAATCCCAAGGGTTTGGGAAAAAGCTGCTGGTCCCCTGCACCTCCATCCCTCTAATGGGTGCCCTCAACCTGATGCCCACCTAAGCTCGTAGATGCCCACACACACAGCTCAGAGGGTGCAGTTGGGCTCGTTTCTCATCCCTCCAGATGTCTAAGCCTCACTGCAAGAGGTTTTGATGTTTGTTGCTGACCTTGGCTATCTCCTGCAGGTAGCTGTCAATGAAGTCCCGGCTCTCCGAGGGGTTCCAGTCCTCCTTGTGTTTGTCAATCTTCTCTTTCACAAAACTTCTCAGCCACCTTCCATTTTTAAAGATGGTTTGGTGTGAGCCAGGCAAAAACTTTATTATAAATGGGTAAGCATTGTACAGCTTTGGAGAGAAAAGGAGAAACTCAAATAGAATAAAGGACTGAAAAAAACCCCCTTGTTTCAAAGACTTGAGGAGCCTGCAATGACATGGTCCCAATCTCCAAGAGGGAGTAGTCTTCTTATTAGGAAGTGACTTGTACTTTGCTTTATGTTACAGCAGGTAGGATGGCAGTCACTGGGCAGGAGAGGTGATGTTGGGTGAGAGGGGAACATGAGCATTGCACAGTGTGAAACTAAGGCAGAAAGGAATCATGGGCAAACCCAGCCTGTGCAAAGGGAGAGGGAATGTCAACAAAGATTGGCAATTACTTTCAATCACCATGATGCTACAAGTTTCAAGGTGGGTTCCAGAGAAGAAACTATGGCCTTGCACACCATCCATGTTGGTGGCAGGAGGGCTGTACCTGGCTCATGATCGTGGCAGAAAGCCTAGATGTCTCGTCCAGCAGATGCAGCAGTTTCTGAAATTCCTCATCTTGGTAGTCAAACCGATCCCCAAGGGTGACAGAGCAGATGACGTTTGAAACAGCATTGCTGATTTTCAGCTGAGGGTTGAAAGGATTACCTGGAGAAGGAAAAAAGAATGATCAATGTCCTTCCAGATTTCACAGAAAAGGAGAAGAAAACACAGTAGTCAGGGGGAAATATTCAGCAAATCCAGGTGAAATGATTGGCCCCTGATGGGCACCCTGCTGTGTCACTGCTGTCCTGGGATGCCTTGCTGACCCCACAAGCTGGCCAAGCTTGGCTGGGTGGCCCCAGCAGTCCCCATTGAATCAGGTTGTGGGGATGTTTACATTGGAGAAGAAGGTGTGCAGAGGAGCAACTGTCATTTGAATTCAGTGGAAATATGGGCCTATATTCACACAGTTTCCAGAGATCTCCATGAGTGCTGTAGGCTGAAGGTGCACTAGAAATAATGCTTGGGGGTTACCTAGCTGCACCCACTGGTTCGTTTGGAGATAGAACAGCTGTAAAAGGCAGGTGGGATGCTGGCAGGGTACTTGCATTGCTTTCAAGGTGAGGTATCTTCCAGCATGCACTGAATCATGGGTGAAATTATGATGGGCCATACTGGTTCCTGCCTACAGCACAGCTTCAGAGGGTGGTGGCACTCACCCTGCTCATCCCCAAACACCTCCACGAGGCATCGGCACTCCTCCTGGATGCGTTCCTCCAGGCCCCTCTTCCCCAGGCCAAAGTTTCGGAGGGTGGTCAAGGTGAACCTCCTCTGTTGCTTCCACAAGTGCCCGTTGGAGATGACAAGTAACCCACCTGAGCCAAAGCAGATCCCTCCTCGGAGGGGAAAGAGCTCCAGGGCTCTGCCTTATCCCCAGCTGTCTCAGAGCTCTGCATTGTCAATGTTTTGACCTAATAGCTGAGAAATGTGTCCTGAGGGAGGACTCACCCATACTGCTGAAGACATCCTTATTGATAGGAAAGTCAGGACGATCCATGAAGTTTTCTCCTTGGATTACGAGAATTTCTTTAAATACCCGGAGCCCATTTATGAAGACATAACATATACCACCCATATGTAAGCTGAAGATGTCCCCGTACTTCTCAGTCAGCTGGGAGAGAAGGAAATAAATAACAGGGATTTCATTTGCCATGAAGGTGTTTGCTGGGACAGGGAGAGGTCTGCCAGGAACATGGGTGATAAGCAGGGAAGCTGGGAGCAGGAGGGGAGCCAGGGGGTTTGCACCAGTGTCTGCTTGGCAGCATGGCATGGTTCAACCCCAGGGGGCAATTAAGCACCAGGCAGCTGCTTGCTCACTGCTCCCACTCCACCCTGGTGGGATGGGCAGGACAATCGGAAAGAGGAAGCAGGGAAAACTTTTGGGTTGAGAGAAGAACAGTGTAATAATTGAAATAATATAAAACAGATGTAATATTACAGCTAGAATGATAGTAATGAAAAGATAGAAAATGAAAAAAACAATTAGGATGATGGTTGCCCAATGGAATTGCTCACCACTCCCTAACTGGTATCCAGCCATGTCCCCGATCTGTGACTTTTCCTTCTTGGCCAACTCTTCCCCATTTATCTTCTGAGCATGATGGTCTATGGTACAGAATATCCCTCTGTCTAGTTGAGGTCAGCTGTCCAAAATACTGCACTGTACACGCTACTAGAAAGAATTAGCTGCTTTCATCTACTGTCCCAGCTGAAACCAGGACACTTCGTACAGTCTCTTCTTGTACCTCTTCCTGAACCACTGATTAGGAGTTGGTGTGAATAAGCCATCAATCAAGTCAAACTGTCCAGGTATGACTTTTTGGTACTATGTTTTGCCAGCTTTTATTTCACTCCCTTACCCAAAACACTTCCAGACCCTGGTCAGACCTATGGGACTCCTGCAGCTGTGACTGCACCCCTGGTGTCTATCACATTGTGCCCTTTGCCCAAAGGATCGCTCTACGCTTGTGCCCCTCTTTGCACCAAGGGAAACTTCACCCACATTGCTGCCAGCCAAGGGCAAACCTCCTGTCTGCCCTGGGCTGAGATCCTCCGAGTCCTTTTGGGCCATGGGCTTTGGGTTAACCCCTTCCCCACACTGCAGGACTTGTGTGGCTACAATCCCCTCCATCCTGTTCCCCACACTGCCCACCACCCCCTTACCTTCTGCACCGTGCTGTAAGGATTGCTGAAGTTCATCAGGTAGAG